GTGTGTGTGTGTGTGTGTGTGTGTGTGTGTGTGTGTGTGTGTGTGTGTGTGTGAGAGAGAGAGAGAGAGAGAGAGAGAGAGAGAGACTATAACTCTCCGACCTCGCGGCACGGCTCGTTATTCCCTACGCGCGTTCCTGCGCGTGGCCAGCTTTTCTCTACGCGCGTAGCCTCGCGCGCTCCCGACCCTTCTGGAAAAACGCGGCCGGGCGCTTACAAAGCAAAACGCTGGCAATGTATGTACCTCCTTTCTCGGGCCGGGGGTCGCCCTTTTTGACGGAGGCCGCTTCCCGGCTCCGGGCCGCCGTGTATCGAGCTCCGATCTCGGCCCCAGGGTCGCACATCGTCGGTTCCCCCTTGCCCGCTGCCCGAGAGCGGTCCCGCGCGGCTGCGCCCGGTTTCTGTTGGGCCCCACGCGAGGACCGCTTCTTCCTTTAGTAGTATAGAGATTTTTATCGTTTGTTTCACAACGTGTGCTCTTTTAGTTCATAGATATGTGATAATATATGAGGGTGGGGGTGCAAGGACCTTAGGAGGGTTGGGCCAATGTAAACCTTCCTGGACTTGGTTGCGGAATGATCACGTGTATATGCAACGATAGCGGGTGAAGTTTAAGCTTAGAACTTTAGAGACAGGTTGGCGATTAAGCCGTTTCATGCCTAGACGTTCATAGTGGGTGAGCTGTTCTGCTTCGGCATTGAACACTGCATGCAGTGCTCAGCGTGCACGTTTGGCAAGATTAGCAGCTCAGGAGATTCTGCAGCTATGATAGATATCGAGGCCTGCTGTAATCCAGACTGAAATTACCGGTAACGAAGTTGTATGTGGAAATCTGTGAACCGGCATTCGAACCCCGAAACCGTTTGAAAGGGAAAGAAAACCAGGTCTTCTGTGAGCATTTAATGAATGCTTCCATTTGATCCTCAAGGTCAATATTCCAACTGCCATTGGAGTGTCCCCTCTGGAATTTCCTCCTGTCCATTTCAAAGCGTGTCTCTGGAATTTCCTCCTCCTGTCCATTTCAGAGCATAGAAGAACCCTCCTGTCCATTTCAAAGTATCTCTCTGTAATCTCCTGTCCATTTCAAAGCATAGAGTGGAGTCCATTTCAAAGCATAGAATGGAAGAATGTATCCTCTTGCAGGATTTTCTTCTTTCTTTCTTTTCATCTTTCTTTTTCAGAAAGACCCAGGTTGTTGTTGAGGTCGGATTGGAGGCATTGTGAGTGACTTCCCTCGGTTACTTGGATTGATTCCTTCTGAGGTGTCATGTGTGGAAGCTACTTGTGCCCTGCTCTTCCTTTCTCCAGCTGAGCCTAACAGCGGCGAGCCATCAGACTTTAAATCGATAAGCGACGGTGAAGCAGTCTGTAACGTAGAGCCGATAGAATGGTACACAGGGGTTGTGACTTGCAGCCGCGTTCTTGTATTGCATTGGAGTTTAGACCATTTGCATTGAATTGAAAAGAGGACTGTATAAGCCTAGAGGTATCCCCAATTTGTATCCATCAGCATTCAACGGACACGTTCAATATTCAGTATTATTCATGCAGTGATGTTTTTGGTCTGAAAGTACAGGACCTTGTCTGCTGTTGGCAAGCTTGTTGGCCTCCGCGAGACTGTGGGGCAAAGAGGAACGGAGAGGGGAGAAACCGTGACGCGGAGGTGGTTTTGGTGAGGATAGTTGGAGAACTGTGAAGGCAGGTTTTCAGGGAAGGGGGGCATGGAGTGATCGTTAACATACGGTTGTGTTGACGGTGCAGGAAATGAAGAAGTACATGAAGTGTTTGCGGGACAAGAAGTTTGTGACTGACGAATGCAATCAGTTCTCAAAGGCCTATCTTGCCTGCCGTATGCAGAGGTATGCGATCCTGTCTGACCATGATGAGTTAACTACGGATGGGGTGTTGTCTTGTGTGTATGTACGTACTTGTGCTTGTGTATACGCCGTACACAAGCACAAGTATGACGTACATATACACAATCGTCAGTCGATGACAAGGGAGCTATTTGCACACCGGTGTGTGTTCAAAATCAAGGATATAATTCGCCAGATATGAGTACTCGTGACGTGTCCCTGCACAGGTGTTGAGATTTGTGAGGTGAATCAGTGAATCATGTCTAAGCAGAGTGTTCACATGTATGTCAGAAAACTTGAGAGCCATCGGATCGTTCATGCGCCTGGTGTCCCTCTCCCTTATTAAGAAGGAAGTAATGCCCAATTACACCCTCTTTATCCATCCTCCACCTTCCCATGGGCCTCCCTTCATAATTCACCTATTCCTCATTGTCTTCCTTCATCCGCCTCTTGCTCCGATTCTTCCTCCTCCTCTTCCTCTTCTTCCTCCTCTTTCTCCTCTTCCTTCCCGTTCGGCCTCTTCTTGCGCCTCCTGTCTCCTCTTCCTCCTTTTCTTCTTCCTTTTCTTTCTCCCCCTCCTCCTCTTCCTCCCCCAACTCCTCCTCCTCCTCCTCCTCCTCCTCCTCCTCTTCGTCCTCGTCTTTCGGAGTCTTTTGTGAAGCTGGCAATCCATTCGGTTATGTCTGATGTCCCAACTTGTGTATTTTGCTGTAGTTCACAGTATGTTGTGCTAGATTAACGTGTGTTTTTATTGGATTTGTGGAGCAAACGTCTTCTCTCTTGGTTTTCCTGTTTGTAGGAGTCTGTCTGCTATTTTTTTCTTTCAGTTCTAGCCCGGGATCCCTTTTGATGTGCATGCAAAAAATGCCTAGCTGCTCTACCCTTTTGTTCCCCACCCCCTCTTTTTGGCCCTCCCTGCATTTTCTTTGTCTCTTAATTGGCTCTCTAGGTTGTTATTTGGTCACGCAGAATTTCAGGCGGTCTGGTGTGGCATGAGGTCACCGAGTAATAGTGTATATAATTTATAATAATTTTATATGCATCCTCTGTCATATGTATATGCTCCATCAGAGTCCATCCATACAATTACGAAAGCAGACATGCCGATCGTAAGTTGTTTGCATTCCACATCTGTCGACCCTAAACCCTAAACCCTAAACCCTAAAGTTTCCAGCAATCGTTCTTCTCCCGTGATTCGGTGACCCTCCGACGGGCCTCCGTCCCTCATTTAAGGGGTCAACCGCCTCACCCCCAATTGTCCATCAGTGCTCCATCGAGTCATCGACACAATAAGTAATAGGCCCAAAAAATAGGGATATAAAAGTCGCATAAAGTTAAAAAGAAAAAGGGAAGGGACATAAAAGTGTGTGTGTCACTCCCCGACTTCCGACCGCAAGCATATGCATCCCCAAGTCTCGACACCCGTTCCCCTTCCCGAGTTATGAACCCCACCCACATGTTTCCAGAAAAAAAAAACTCCCTCCCCCCTTTCAAGTCGTCAACCAGATCCCTCCCGTCGTAAAATATCAGTGAAGCAGTTTCATCATTCAAATACCAAGAACATCAGAAGAAGAAATTAGAGCAGCCATTCTCCATTTCTCACATAAGATCAGATAAGGACCAGATGCTCACAGAGTTATATTTCCACAAAACTTAAAATGAGATGATGGTTCTACCAACTGGCCTAGCTCAGTTGGTACACCCCCCCTGAACTGAACTGTTGAAATACAGACCAGGTGCTGAGTTCGAACTCTGCTACAAGGAGACGAGTTAAATACTACAATTCTGAATCACGTAGGGCCAGTCATTCCGATGATGATATCTCAAGGCCGTTTCCTTCTCTTCTCTTCTCTTCTCGTATACCTTAAAGCAAAAAGCGGTCCGCGCGTGACGCTCCCGCTGGGCCCAGCGAAATTCGGGCAGGGAGGTCCGCGCGCGGTGCCGCAGGGGACCCAGGAGGGCGCGACGGTTGGGGAGTGTCGTAGCAGGCCGAGGAAAAATCGTGTGCGGAGGGGGTGTCGGGCGCGTCGGTTCGTGGGGGGCGTATTTGCGACGGGCGGCGCATCGGTTCACGGAGGCCGGAGTTCTGCGCGCGCTGGAGGACGGTGCCGAGGCGGGGTCCGTTTGGAAGGGGCACTGGGAGGCGCGGACCGGCATGTGCACAGGCCAGGCGCGCGTGAACTAAAGAGGCATTAACCGCCGCGGTCCAGTTGGCCTCGCTCAATGTATCTTTCCATATTCTAGCGGTGATTCAGTCTCATTTTGCACATGGGGAGTGTAGTGCAGCGCGACCCATTGCCTCGCGGGGGA